AGCCGCAGCGGCACTAGCTGCTTTTGGCTGGGTCTTACTGGAATGGCAGTCAAAGGGGGGGAAAGATGAAAAGGCCTCAAGATGCTTCAATAAAGGAGAGATTATAATAAGCGCCATCATTGTGCCCCTTTTGAAAATGTTAATCAGGCATATCACTGCCTGCCTGCAATGCCACATGTAGCAGCGTTTAACTTAACTTCACACCAACAATTTAGAGGACAGCAAGGCCACTGCAAAACACATGGGAGGGGGGGAATAGAGGGAAAGGGAAAACAAACAGGGATGGAGAGGGAGCGCTACAACGGCAACTGGTCGTAATTTCCGTGTCGTTATAAAAATCTAAATTACATGTCTCTCAATGCAGGCCGTATCTCCTGCAACCAACAAACCCTTCCCCCCGACACCCCCCTCCGCAAACACTATCCACCCCGTGCGTTTTATCTTAAGATTCTCAGACAATGCCTGGAGGATCCCCTTCTCTAATCTTCCTTAAAATCCCCTTTCATCCAACTGTTAAAGAATGTTTGAAAGCCTGACACCAGACCAAAAAAAACCCTCTTCACATCTGGGAAAAGCTTTCGGATGGAGGGCTTGCTGGTTGGGGGTTTGGATGTGAAGTCAATGCAACTTAACTAATTAAATTGTTTTTGCCTCTCAAACACTCAAACGGCCTCAGAGATTAAAAAGGTCTGATGTGAGGCATTTTCCTTCTCGCTTGCAGCGACCATTGCAATAAACTGGACAAATGCTCTTTTTCTTCCTCAAGCAGAAATTACACTCATACAAGAGTAGTGGCTAATGTCTTACAACATGCATTAATTGAGGCTAAAGGTCTAACCTGTTTATATTAGGTAGCGAGAATACATGACTTCACAAAGGCGATCTACTGTGCGTGCGTAACGGTCCGTTGAGAATTAAAACCAGCGGGAAGAACAAAGGCCGCAAAAGCCAGCAGCTGAAAATGGACCATTCTGATGTTAACCAGCTCTTGAAGTCGAGCACATAGTCCAGCACTAAACCTGAATAGGCGGTCACCTTCTGATCCAGCGCTGGCCTTTGGTCGTGCCGATAAAAGCCATCCTTATGAGCCGAATTCCTGCGTTTGTCTCCAGGCTTACTTTTCCGCTACTGCACGCTTAGCAGGAAGGCTAAACGAGGTCTTTGGTCTTTAAAATTAGAGTGGACAAGCTACCAAACTAGCATGCAAATCCCATGGAGGAGAAAGAATAGGACAGAGGGAGAAGAGGGAAAAAAAGAGAATTGAAAGAGAGACAACAGAAGAAAGAGAACAGCAGAGAGGGAGAGAAAAAGAGTTTGCGATTACGCCGATAGAACCCGGTGTGTGCCGATTGCGAGACATCACAAAACCTGTCTCGTCCCCAGAATCGGGGCGAGTATTATGCTCTAAACACTTTTCCTTCTCTTACTGTGGAAAGATTATACTGGTTATCCTATTAATGCAGCTGAAATGCCATTCTAGTGTCTTTAAGCTCTTGCATAGGAGGTCAAGAGGACTATGCCACCGCTTACAAGCATGCTGTGGATGTAATCTTCCCAAAGTTACAATAATTAATGTTAAGCTTCTTTAGCAATACGTTTCTGAAAGAACTTGTCTGATAATATACTTAAAGCTGTGTTAGCTGTTAGCTGTTGTCTGAGTTCGGAGACCATTTCCCCATGCGACTCGCGTAGCCAAGCTTAAATCTTTAGTCAAACTAAGGGGCTGGTTACAAGCATGTTGTCTTAGCCACACAAGCAATTCCATTTCAGTCTTGGCGGAGCTGAGATCTATAAACGCAGACACTCAAGCAATTATTTCTGCATGGCCAACACTGCCTTGGAATGTGGGCACTGAGAATTACTGTGGGAAAACTGAGGGGGGAAAGGCGAAAAAAAAAAACTGACGTTTTGAGACTAAAATATTAAAAGATGCACATCCGTTAAGAAGCCCGGAAGAGGACGACCACGTCCCCGAGAATAAAACAAACATAACGGGCCTCTTCTGACACTGCCGTATGTCTGTTTTTCCAGCACAGACTGTGATGGCTCGTCTGTAAACTGAATTAAGCTGATGATATCCGTCTTGTATGAATTTCTGTGACCGCGGTGGAGAAAAAGAGAACGGATTAGCATGCAATAAAACCTGTGTCAATCTTATCAGACTCAAGTGCAATTTTTAAACACATGTTAATCTCACCTAAAACTCATTCTTTTTTCCTCTGTGCTTTTTTAAAAATCTCTTATCGAGAACTCTGTAGGTGTGTGGGTTTTAGAGCGCCTTTAAAATGCCATTATTTTCATAATTGCGTCCATTGTTGCAGATTATAAAGCAATTTGAAAATCATATGTGTGCATAAATGCATGCTGAGCAGATGTCAGGGAGATGCATTCAGAGGGTTGCTGAATATCAAAAGCCGTTCAGATAACATTACCACACATTTCAATGCTGCATGCAGAAAAAATTTCAATGTGATTCGGGATGGTATTGTGCTCGGACAGAATGGCGAGCGTGCGAATAGCTCTCCTCTCTCGCTTTTGATTTCATGAAATGTTCAAAATTGATACGTTTAGAAAATCGGGTGACAATAACATATTTAGATGTAATTCTGGGGATGTGGCTAACTGAGGTAATGGTTGAGCTGCTGGCGAGTGTGTGTGTGTGTGCGTGTGTGTGTGTGTGAAGGACACTGCTCCCTCTGGTGTGGGAATAACAAGTTCATTAGGCAGGAGACACCGCAGGCCTTTGCGTTCCGTTTACGGCCTCCTAGCCCATCAGCGGCTGCATCATTAGGGCTCTGCCATAATTAAGAGCTGCTAGAAAGTGAATTCTCCAACTGCAGATTAGAAAATTAAACTATTTACTGATTACATATTAATAGAAGACAACAATGGCAGTCGCCATAAGCTTGGACGGCAACCAAGGAATACATCTGTGTACTTAATTACCATAAACAATGGTTGCATGGAAATAGAGTTTTATACGCATTCCCTTCTGTAATATGCCTGATATCAGAAGACACTTGACAATTCGTGTTCAATTATCTTCATTCTTTAATGTGCTGTGAACTGCACGCAGTAAATAAATTAACCAGCCCAATTACTGTGAATTCATCTGGGAAACAAACACAAAAAACCAGCAGAATAAGGCAGAGCGTATAATGAGAGGGGGAGGGGTATCAGGGATCACGAGTAGTTCTTAATACAGTTTTTATATGTATAGAAATCTAACTTTATATGTGTGCATACATACAAATAAGCATACACGTTTATTTAACTTTTGCTTATTTATTTGCAGTCATCATTGTATGCATGTAGTGAATATATGTTCTAAATATATATTCTCTCTCTCTCTCTTTATATATATATATTTATAAAATTATAATAACATTATATAAAACATTACACATATATATATATATATATGCAATACAGTATTGTATATATTATATTATACAATTATACACACACACACACACACACACACACACACACACACACACAAC